AAGGTAGGCATGGTGGTGCATGCTTTTAATTCTAGTACTCCGGGGGCATAGGCAGGTGGATCTTTGTGAGTTCCAGGCCAGCCTGGTTTACAAAGTGAGTGAGTTCCAGGCCAGCCAGGGCTGTTACACAGAGAAGCCCTGTCTCAAAAACAAACAAACAAACAAACAAAAAAAAAAAAGTGGAAAAAAAAAGAAGAAAGAAAGAAAGAAAAGAAAAGACCAGACCAGACCAGCATCGTTGAGGTGAAGTCTTCTGGAAAGTGTCTCCTGAGAGTCAGCACACAGGAGCTTTGTTCCAGATGTGGCCAAGATTGTACCTTGTGCTGGCAGCTGAATTTAGTAATGTAAGAGTTACCCAGGTGATGCTGTTTTTAAAGGTGTGAAGGGGTCACAGAGAGTGACTGAGTGTGGCACTGTGTGGCAGGGCTGGAGTCCCCGTAGAGAGCCCAGGAGAGGCTGTTGGTGAAAGTGCAGCCCAGTTGCAGCAGAAGACCCCAGCGTTTTGGACATGCCAGTGCCATGGGAAGACCACCAGGAAGAGCAGCAGCAGTGGAGTGGAGCCTGCCAAAACTCAGAAGACAAACTGTGTGTGCTGCAGAAGGCAGAGCTGGAGAGGTGACCCAAGCCCTTTGGAGGAACCCAGAAGATTGTGGGTAAATTCTAGTCAGCCATAGAAACCCTAAGACATTATGTAATATATTTTTAAAAGCCACCTAACAGTCACCTAGGGTGAGACTTATTCAGTCAGCCCTAATATGCTCACAATTCTATAACTCTTGTAGTGTTTCTTGACTCAGACTTGAAGCAGAAAAATCCTAAGTTTTCTAGAATTTCACCAGAAAAACCGAGAGAGAGTTTTCCTCTTCTTTTACCCAAATGAGCTCAATTCTGCAAGGCCCTGTCACCATGTGTGTGACCATGTGATCAAGAGTTACATTTAGGCCAAAGGCTCACATGATAAAAGCTTGTAGCCAAGTGTGATCTGCTTGTAATCCTAGAATTTGGGAGGCAAAGGCAGATAGATCACCGAGTTCAAGGACAGCCTTATCTACAGAGCTCTAGGTCAAGGCTACAGAGTGAGACACCTCACCCCATCTCAAAACAAAACAAAACTCAAAACCAAAACAAACAAAAATTCCAAGTTCATGTATAGATAAGGGAACATTATCTTATTGCGCTATCTCTTGAGTGGTATGTAATCAGGTTTGAAGGTATGTGGGAAGTAGTTAGAGCAAATGCCCAGGCAATTTACCTATTTACCAAACCGTTGTTTAGTAAATGTAGGTGAGCCGGGCGGCGGTGGCGCACACCTTTGATCCCAGCACTCTGGGGGCAGAGCCAGGCAAATCTCTGTGAGTTCCAGGCCAGCCTGGTCTACAGAGCGAGATCCAGGACAAGCACCAAAACTACATGGAAAGCCTAAATCAATCAATCAATCAATCATTGTAGGTGAGATCACAAATGCCTCTTCCTTCCAGAGTTAAGAGTGAGAGATAGGCAGCTGAGGAGCACTTGCTTAGCATTCATTAGACCCTGGGTTTGATTTGCTTCACCATGACAATCAATCAATCAATCATAAATAAATAAGCAAATAAATAAATAAAAAGAGTGAGAGTTAGCTCAGCAGTTAAGAGTATTTGTTGCTTTTGCAGAGGAACAGGGTTCGATTCCCAGCATTCTCATGATAGTTCACAACTGTCTGTAACTCCAGTTGCAGGGGGTCTGACACTCTTCTGACTTCTGAGGGCGCCAGGCATGCCCATGGTGCACAGGCACACATGCAGGCAGAACACGCACACACATAGGATAAAATTAAAACTTAAAAAATTTAAAAAAAACTGAGTGAGTGAAAACACTTAAATATAAGTGACCTTAAGGGGCCAACATTGAAATGGTTTTTCTTCCCAAGTCAGAACGACTTATTTATTCATCCATTAATCCCATGAATTATGTGGCTGGTGATAGGGAGGTGAGTAACATACTTCCTAGCCTCAAAGAATGCAGTGTAATAGCAGACAGAGACTGAGATCATTTTAATGTGGTTTAAAAAACAGAAAAGTGCCTTATACTTTATGAGACTATTTGTATAAACTGACAACATGACCACTTCATAGTACGGTGAAGGGGAGGGTTTTATTACAGAGGAGAGAGAGCAGCCAGAGGCATCTGGAAGAGTCCAGAGCAAAAGAGAAAGAAGTCGACCGGACATGGCCAGAGAAGGAAGATTGGCAGAGGATAGAGATTAGAGAAGACACAGTGAGAACAGCAGGGTTGTGAGGAGAATGAGTAGCGGGGTGAGGAAAGCCTGAGAGCTGGAGGGGGTGGAGGGGAGGGGAGGGGAGGGGAGAAGGGCTGGGATGCCAGCATGGACTTTGAAATGTGTAACAGGTACTAGGGATACATACCAGCATGCGCTTTATTATGCTGATTGGCACCACAGGTCGCCATGTGTCCTTTCTACCCCAGGTGAGGGAAATGTCTCTTTCTTTTTTTTTTTTTTATTTTTGGTAAAGGGGAACTGACTTCACAAGTTCCTAAGGAATGGTGGGTTTTTTGTTTTTTGTTTTTTAAATCTAACTGCTAGAAATCCTCCTATTGTCCAGGTTGAGCTCATTTCTGGATCTCTGGACTACCCCTTTGGAGTCTGGGGAATTGGAGTTTCCTTTGGAGCTGATAGTATTTCTGTGTGCCTTCCCCACCCCCTGCACCCCCTCCCCGTTCTCCTCTCCGCCCCCCCCCCCAGAACTAGCTCAGTAGCCCAGGCTGGCCTCATACATACTCACAGAGATCTGCCTGCCTCTGCCTCCTGAGTTCTGTGATTAAAGGAGTGCGCCACTGCCATTAAACGAGGGCATTCAACCTAGTTAAAGGAGAGAAGCAAATGGGGGAAACTGGCAGGGAAGTCTGACTGCAA